TGGGTGTGAAAAGATTAACGATATAAGATGATTTTTCGAAGAAGTTTGAAAAATTTGAAATAAATGTCTTATCTCCGTTCTTTCTTCTATCTTCTATCCACAAACGCTAGGGGTGAGAGGGAGGGGGTAGAGTACGGGGTGAGGGTCGCGCTGAACTCCTACCCGGGGGGGTCCTATTCGGCTAATTTGGGTGGGGTTTAGAGACAAAATTGGGGTTTGGAGCTTAAAGGCAGCGTCCAGGCAAGTCTGGACCTATGGGGATTTTACATGGAAAGTACTTTTGGGGCCCTAACTGAGCCACTACCCAACCGGCAGCTCAGGTAGTGCTGTAACGCCTGAGATATTCTGCTCGAAACTGCTCCCCGCGACCGTGTTTCGCATGGATTCATGGCGCAAAGCGTGGATCCTGGCGCGAAACTGCCATGAATCCATACGAATACGTTCGCGGGGGTCTGTTTCGAGGGGAATATCTCCGCCATTAGAGCACTGCATGAGTTGCTGCTTCGGCAGTGCCTTAGTTAGGGCCCCAAAAGTACTTTCCATGTAAAAGCCCCATAGGTCCAGATCTGCCTGGAAGCTGCCTTTAATTAGGGCTAATTACAGTATGCCGCGGCAGACTTGCGGAGCACAAAATCGGGGGGCTCCGGAGCAGAAAATGGGAGGTATCCGGAGCAGAAAATGGGAGGTATCCGGAGCAGAAAATGGGAGGTCTCCGGAGCAGAAAATGGGAGGTATCCGGAGCAGAAATGGGAGGGCTCCGCCGGACAAATGGGAGACCCACCGCTGGGGAAACGCCGCGACCCTGCCATTTCTCCGGCGGAGGGGTCCTATCCGTTGCCTGAGCATGATCTTCCGGTTTGCGGGAGTGTTCGCGGTGGATGGTCTACCGTCTCTAGGACGGTCTTGAGTGCTGCTTGGCTCCTTGAAACGGCGCAGGTTGTAATAGTATGTTCCGCGGAATTCCGAGTATTTGAACGATCCGCTTTCGAGACTTCCCTTCTATGTGCATCTTCACGATCAGCTCACTCTCTGATTGAGGCATAATCCCGGTAGGATTAAGAATATCAATCCAATTTTTGGAGGGCTTTTATAGCAAAGTTCAAAGAACATTTACACCAAGGATAAGATAAGATATGATATCTTATATATAAAGCTGAATGTCTGTTTGTCTGTCTCTATGTATGTCTCTCTGTACGTATGTTCCAAATAGAAAATTCCATTTCTGAACCGATGCGGACCAAACTTGGCACACATACACTTCGTGCCCCGGCGGGTGTCATAGACTACTTTTCGTCATCGATCGATTTTATCGATTTTTTTGCAAAATTTGAGCTACAAAGCTGGGAGTTGGCACAGGGGGTAATCGAGCATGCTGATTACATTTATTATTGACAGGGCCGGGCGGAGTCGGGTAAGCCATCTAGTGATATGGTAAAACAAGATAGCACTTAAATGTTGTTCAAATACTTTCCCCAACCCTGTAACATTTGACTCAGCCCTTTTTCATCTCGATCATCAAAGATGAAAGGCATCATGGAATCCAAAATCTCACAGACATGATGCAGGGTGGCGTGCGTTAATAAGTGCGTTAACAAATTTGTTCGAAATCTACCAATTGCCTTTATCGATTTATGGATTTCTTGCAGTTTTTGCTTTAAAAAAGGTTTATGTTCCAAAAATCCAAAAAGACATCCAACATTTTGTTCAGGACCTACCTATTGTCTTCCTGAATTACCAATTTTTTTGCAGTTTGCTTAGCACTCTTGCTACCGGTGAAAAAAATGAAGAATGAAAAATTGTTGCTAGCAATTTATTGAACTCTGACGTTCGATGCTAAGCAGTTTTGTCATGACCGGTCAAAAATTTATATATTTATTTATTGCATAAGGAAGTCTCTATGTTAACACAGAACAACAAAAAAATCAAAACAACTTAACACAAAAAACGAACTTATCAAACGAGCACAACAAACGATAAATGAAGGTGTTAGTAGGAAAACCGGAGGTAGCTTCTCAGAATCTTTTTGTACAGTGATAGCTTAGCTACGAACACCTTTCTTCTCAGAATTATATCCATATCATGGGCCACTTGGCACGTTAAGAAATATTTCCTTGCATTAACCTTGCCCTTGATAGTATAAGCTTCCTAGCTCCTCCCCTAGTATTGCAGCAGTGCATAGTGGCAAGTAAATTTCTTGCGTCAAGCTTACACTCTCCTAATAGTATTTCATGCACCATGATCAAATCGAATTTTCTCCTCCTGTAAGCAAGAATAGGAATGCCTAGATCAGTGCGAACATCGTTGCCATATCCGCAATTATTTTACAATGTTTGTCTGATTACAATGTCTGATTTTTTTGAACTGCTTCCAACTCTCGAATTTTCTCAAACTAACTTATGGTTGAGGTATGGTTGTAAAGAGCAAGGATCCCTCTTTCAAACAAATAATTTTAAGGAATTCCATTGGGTGGCAAGGAAGATATGATTTTTTGAAAATGATGCGAAAGTTTTGACCAACCTATATGTTGAAGAGTATTGGTGAGAGTACGCCACCTTGAGAACCTCCACATTTCATCTTCCTAGGAAAAGAGAAGGTCTGAATGATATGAACTACAAGCATCCGCTCTCTTAAAATACTTCAATCCAAGATATTATTCTCGGTATTCCTACAGCTCTGGGCTTGATCATTGGTTTGGCATGTGGCACTTTATCGAAAGCCCTAGTGAAATCTAGGTAGATAACGTCAATATTTTGTCCCCTATCTAGCTGCAATGTCCAATCATTGGCCGCTTGTAACATTATTGCAACTGTCGTACCACGTTGAATCCGTGCTGTGCATCTGAAATTACATTGTTCTCTTCCAAATGCTTAACAATATGTTTTTTCAACATTTTTAAAAAACCTTGCGAATATGAAAGTTATGTTGACAGGCCAAAAGTGTTCTGGACTTGTCAGCGGCTGCTTTTGAGAATCGGTGTGACAAAAGAAACCCTCCATCGTTAGGGAACTTCAGCCCGCATCATCTCAAATTGAAAATCTGTTGTAGTGCCCCAGAAAGTATGTCAGCAATTAATTTAATAAACTGTAGTCGCAAAAAGTTGGTATAAGACATAACGATTTAGGCCACTAGTCAAAAGCAGATAAATGTCTTCGCTTTTGAACCAAATCCCGTCACTCATCGGGAAGACTAGAGGCAATCCCCTCTCAGAATCGTTAACTTTTTTTCTTCAAAAGTCTTTGCAAAAGTATCCGCGAAATATTCCGCTTTCTCTCTATTATCACTTATGACCACACCATTGTCTCTACGTAAAACTCGCATGATCATTTTATAGAACGCTGATCTTTCTGCAGATTTGATCATCTTTTTCTCAGAAGATGCATTGTATTTTTTTGAGCAGTTTAGTAAATTTGGCGTCTAATCTATTGAAATTGGAACATCTTCAGTTGTCACTATCAGCTGCAATTACTCAAGCTCGTTCCCTCATTTCATAAAGTCTAAGAAGATAATCAGGCTTATTTGTCCGCCCCATAGGAACCAAGGACCAGGGGACTTAGAGATTGATCGCGTGGTTGATTAAAGTTAGGAAAAGCTCAAAATGCTAGGAAAACTTTAGGACCTGACCCAATTTATAAGTGTAAGCACTACGATGGAACAGAACAAGCTGTCTCCACTGAAATAGACTCATCAACAAAATTTTTGTATTTTACGCCTGGACGGCTAAAAGTTGAAAAAAAAGGCAGGTAAGGATAAAGACGAATCAAATTTATATTACTTTAATGACCTTTCCTACCTATTTATCAGTGGCGGACCGAGAGGGGGGGGGGCGCACCTCCCCTCTTTCGAGAATGGGTCGCGAAATTTTTGAAACTTACCTACATGGGTTATAAATATCTGCAAATGACTTGTTTATTTTTGTAAGTAATTAAAATAATCTTTAAAAATTTTTTAAAAATTCAAATTAACCTTGTAAAAAAATTTTTTTCCGGGGCGTGGCGTCAGCCACGCTCCGTTTTTCTAGATTTCACGGGTCTGGCGCCCGAAAAAATTCCAAAGAGCACCGCAAAAAATTTTTTAAAGATTTTTCGCACCTTCATAAAAAAATTCCCTCCCCCCTAGACGGAAATCCTGGGACGGCCACTACTATTCATTGATTATTGTATGCTACTCTACAACCGGTGAGCTTGCTGATATTTGAGCACTATCAATTTGCCCAGCCAACACCCCTATATCCAGGCCGTATCGTACATTCTTATGATGACGCCAGTCTCGCCCTTGGGCATACCTGAAGCGATTTCAGTCGCGACGCAAATTGGCAATAAACTGTTCATACCTCTTCGTACTGGGTTTCTAGTGTACGGAAGACAGCGCATTATATCAACCTAAAAAAGTTGTACATGCTTCGCATTTGAGGTCTACCCAATATCGAATTTCAACACATCGCAAATTGCCAGATCGGCGAGTGAAATCGCGTGAGGTATGCTCATGACCTATCGCCAGGGTAAAGCGGGGGGTGCGGCACGCCGCAGGGGGGGGGGGGGTCGTAAGGGGGGGGGGTAGGGGGGGGGGTCGTATCGACCCAAGGTCAAAAGCGGTTTCTAAGGGGAAATGACTGCAGCTAAGTTCTTAGATGTGCCACGCTCTTTCCCAGCTACCTCTGACAACTCAGGTTCAATAATTGAGAGAAATCCTAAATGGAGTCTTGATTTAGGTACGAGTTGTGTTTTCAATAGAATTTCTTGAAAAGGAGATTTTGCAGTGAATGGATGATGGTGTGACGACCGACGTGTGATGTGTGGGAAAGTGAAGATTTCGTCAATAGAAATGCACGATACATTTGAACAACTTGTGCCGGGAAAGAGGAACTTACGCATATTGTTGTTGTGGTTTTGTGTAAAATGTACCTTTAAAAAACATTTATCTGTTGCATACGCTAATATAAGGAAATGAATAATGATTTATAAAGATGTGAAGTATCAGTCTGTTTTCTCAGAAGATCCGATTTAAAAAATGTTCATCTTAGCAAGTTCTTCTTGCAAAAGCCGGTTTTCAATTTCCTCCGTGTCCTTTCGTGCATTTAGACCGTGAACCACCATGTGGCGCCTTACATGGAGCTTGGCCAACTCATATGCATCTCCTAAATGCATAAAATGCTTTAAATTCTGAAACTTGAAGTGAATCCAACCTTTTGCAATGTTTTCTTTTACTGCTTTCATGAGGCTGTCTTCTCTAGCTAGATTCGATGGCATACCCGGATCCAGCCCAATACCCGGTGCAGGATGCATCCATTGGAGTGCTAACTGTTGAAGTTTGACTGTTAGGATGCTAGGCCCATTACGCTGCACTCTAAAACATGCATTGATGTTGGAGCATACTTACAAGAACAGGGCTTACGTCATGATGTTGTCTAGAGATTCCGTCTTTATGTTACTCCTTTTGAGGTTCCTGAAACTGGTAGGTTGTCACTGTGCAAAAAATTGGGCATTCGTGATTGTGAGCGCACTTCAAATGAGCTACTTTCATGATCCGAATATCGCCCATCATCCAATTCATAATCAGAATCTGAAGAATCGATATCCGATTCCGGAATCTCCAAATCAATCCAGAGTGGAGGCAGATCAAAATCGCTGTCCTCGTCCTTATTAGCTGGTGCTGGCGTCAGTCAAACCTGAAAGCCTTTCTCGCTCCATTTGTAAGAACAGAAGAAGTGGTGCACGTATTTAGCTACTAGAGAGTGCTAAATTTCGCTAATTTTCTTAGATCTTTGAGTCTAAAAGAGCTCATTATTTAAGGTGTGTGAGTCCTAAGGGAGGGGACTGGGAGCCTCTTGGAGTGACGCAGTAGACCGAAGAAGCTCAACTGAACTGTACTCTTGTTCAGTTCGTGTAGGATAAAGATAACGCTTTTCGGTGCGAGAAAATGGCCGAAGGTCGAAGAGGTCCGAAACTGACAAGGGAACCGTGTCGAGTCGAAGTGGCCTTTTCAGATTAGACCCATACTGCTTTGAAGAGCATTAATCGTTGATTCCAAATCTGCTTTCCAATTCTGCCAAGCGCCACTGGACGCCGAGTTATGCTCGTTTTTCAGGTCAAAAAATTAAACGCAAAACTGCAGCAAAATCGCCCAAATCTGCTCAAATGGTCCAGTGTCAAGTATCAGAGCTGTTTATGCAATGGATACATTTTATTTAAAATGCTAATACTCAACAATGCTTTATCTGAGCGCTAGAAAGATTGTAACAGTTGATTTTACATAAATTTTGCATTCATTTTCGTTCCAAAGTATGGTCATATCTCGGCGTCCAGAGGCACTTGGCAGATTTGGAAGGCAGATTTGGAATCATCGCTTAATGCTCTTCAAGGCAGTATGGGTCTCTTTTGGAAAGGCCACTTCGACTAGACACGGTTCCCTTGTGAGTAAAAAAATTGACTTGAAAGCAAAAAAATATAGATGGTGCACCAAGAAGATTTAGATTCAAAGATGATGAATCATTACAGTGATTGACTTGAAAGCAAAAAAATATAGATGGTGCACCAAGAAGATTTAGATTCAAAGATGATGAATCATTACAGTGATCGTCTTAGCACAATGGATTTGTTCGCGTGTACTGTTCTGTGCTGCCGCTCACAAAGCTGGTTGTGCGTGATAAACATAAACCGATTATAAGGATAAAGGATAACGGATTCGGCGTCCTCAACACCCTCTGCAGGCATGCGCCGAACGCACACACTAACTTCATAGTCGTCTATTGTATGTGTGCAAGCCTATTACATTGACTTGCGCACTTGTACAAGCTGTGTGACTAAATTGACTTGATGAAAGCGCTGTTGAAATCCTGCAAAATTCAAGTTCAACGACACAAAGTTGCAGATACCGTATGCCTACCGTAACCTACCGTACCTCTAATCAAGCATAATTGTCTTAATTCGCGTGTCGAATAACCCCTATGCGCCAAGTTTCAGCGAACTCTGAGGTCTCCGAGCAGTAAACAACCTTGTATAAAGCAGTAATTTAAAACATGATTAACTTCATCTTAACGGTGAGTAAGCTACCTCTTCTTGCACTCAGTACAAAGCACTACTCCTTCTTTGTCCACCTCAGGAGACCCGCTTCAGAAGACCTCCAAACTATTGAATTAGAAGCCAACCAAAATCGCTTTTAGCTTTTGATCGCTGTGCTTTCACCAAATATTACTCAGAGCTAAGAAGACGAATCAGGCTCAAAACATCCCTATGGAATCTACGAGGTTTAGGCTATTGATTCATATAAATATTGTCCGCTAAAAATGTTTTTTGATATAGTTAATGGCCTGCGGCACCCCCCTCAAAACCTGCGGCTGCCGCAGGTTTTGAGGGGGGGGGGGGTGCCGCAGGCCATTAACTTACCTTCAAAACGCTCAAACGAATCCCTTTTTTACACTATTCTATTGAGCCATCCTTCTCCTCTTCGTAGTAGCATTTGTCCCCCCCCCCCACCCAAGCGCGCCCTCTTAAGCCCTGGCCATACGTACGGCGATTTCATCATCGCGATTTCGTCGCCGAAGCATTTCGTGATTGTAGCGACGAAATCGCGACTATCAAATCGCTCATCGCGAGTTCTGGCCATACCGTCCAACGATTGGGTGCAATTGCACAAGTTAGCACAAACGCTGTAATCTTTTGGCGTCGTTCTGACTAGTGAATTCATCCCCAGTTTTTTTCTTTCATTTGTACATTTTTTCGAATTTTTATATCGATAACAGCATCAGCAGTTTTGTTTTTCGCTTCTATCTATCGTATTACTGATTTTCTTACTAGAAGCCGAATGCAAAGTTTGTATTTTCACACTGATCTGATTTGATAGTTCATTTGCGTTCACAAACTCTGTCACATGTTCATTTCCTCTCTGGTGTGACGTTCCCGCTAGTTGAATTTAGAGTGAGAATGCGGTCAAAAAGAAAGTAAACAAGCTAGTTACTTTAACTTTTCCTTATCTCCCTTTCACAAGGGAAGTCCGGCATCGAAAAGACATCAAGAAAGACAGAAATTTCTCTGCACAGTAACTTTCTTATTAGCGTGCATTGTTGGAGTTTGTTTGCATTTCGTATTGGATGAAAGGTAAGATTCTTCAAAAAGTGAAATCTCTGTTCTAGTAAGATTTCTGTATCTGTAAATGTTAATCCTGTATGCTCTGAATCTCTTGTATTCTTTTAAATAAGTTGTTTTTTTGCTGTGCATTATAAGGAGGGAGCTATAAGCTTTCGGTGAACGATATCAATGGTTTCTCATGTCATGAACCTTAAGGTTAACATATTCTTCAATCTTTCATGTAGACTTTGAATTTAAGTTGCTTTTATTTAGTATATAGTTTGTTTACATGATTGATGTCGACGAATTTAGTGATTAAACCATTGTTTCGGCTATTTATTCGCTATACCAACAACATATGCATTTACAACATGTATTGGAAGCTGTATGAGACAAAACAGGGTCCATTGTAGAACATGACAGCATTAGGTTACGTCAAATCATTTTGTTTATAACCAAAGGAAATCTCAATAGATCATTAGCAACAAACTATGCACAAAAAACCTAAGTTTAAAAGTACTTTCTGCATATAAGAAAAGACAAAGAAGAAATCAAATCAAAAGCTGGTCATGAGCCCGTGATGTTGAGGCTAATACATGCTGGCATGTGCTTGTAAAATAAAATCCATCCCCAGAGAACGACCTCGCTGTTCCTTGACATCTCGATTCTCTTAATGAATCGTTGGGGCAATCACAGCTAGAAGAAAACGCGTTGAGTATTAGGTTGTCCGGAAATTAATGCCCGTTTTGAATTTCAACCGCAATAAGTCATACACTCTTCACTTCTAAATAGATAGCAAAGTACCATTCGATAGAGCAAAGCAATCTCTACAAGGTGGCAATCTTGCTTTAGCAACAACTCTGATCCACCACGAGTTTCGAGCCAAAAACTAAAAAGATTCAACTGTCCGAAAAATTGAGAAAAATCGTAACTCAGTTCATAAAAATCCTACAAAAATTCTAATTTACTTGCGTAAACACTATCCACATAAGACATCAATATATGCCGTTGCCGTATTTTTTTCTCTGTTAGAAACCAAGGAAACGGAAATTTTCGTGCATTTGCCAAAGTGATGCTGTGCCGTCCCCGCATAGGTAGTTGTATACCACAAGTCTGTAGAAGTACAGACTTAAATTTCCAGCTCTCTACAAGCTTTAGTTCTCAAGAAATACCGAATATAGCTTTCCTTACTTAAGTGGTCCAAGCTAAAATTCAAATTTCTCGAGAACTAAAGCTTGTAGAGAGCTGAACATTTAAGTCTGTACTTTTTCAGGCTTGTGGTATACAACTACCTATGTGGGGACGGCACAGCATCACTTTAGCAAATGCACGAAAATTTCCGTTTTCTTGATTTAACAGAGAAAAAAATACGACAACGGCGTACATAGATGTTTTATGTGGATAGTGTTTACGCGAGCAAATTAGAATTTTTGTAGAATTTTTATGAAATGAGTTACGATTTTTTTCGATTTTTCGGGCTGGCGAGTTTTTTTAGTTTTTGGCTCGAAGCTCGAGATGGATCAAAGCTGTTGCAAAAGCAAGATGGCCATCTTGTAGAGCTTGCTTTGCTCTATCGAATGGTACTTTGCAACCCATTTAGAGATGAGAAGTATATGACTTAGCGCGGTTGGAATTTAAAACGGGAATTAATTCCATCCGAGGCACCAAACTTCTCTCTGTACAGCGCACACTAATTTGTGCTAACATCACAAAACGGTGGAAAAATATGGATTAATAAGCAAAAAAAATTCTTTCCGGAAACCTCGTTTTTAAGTGATCATAACTTCCTTCAAGATTTGTCGGTTTAAATGAAAAGTTGGCTGTCTTGTAGCCGCAAGCCAGTAGTACGAAAAAAAGTTGAAAGGAGCTCAAACAAAGAAGATTCGCGAAAGTGAAAAAATAATATTCAAAATTGCCCGCTTTTTCCGACATTTTTTCGTAGCCCTCAAAATCCTAAAATGTGGAGATTTTTGATTTTCTGTGTACTGAACAGCTTCCACATTTCTGCAAAAACTGTCAACAGGAGGCCCACTCTTACGCTTACAGAAATGAGCGAAACTTTGGCGATTGCCTTCTTCAAAGGAAATCTATGGGCCACAGAATAGTCAAAATCATCACTCATGTTGAGACGCCGAAATTTCAGTCTAAATAATTTTTGAGAAAACAGCAAAGTGTGCATAACGTAGAAAAATTCTACTTCATACAGCATTTAAATTTTCAAGAGAATGCGTTTACTCGCGCTGAAATTCTGGCCAAAAAAGTAAGTGCAATGAAATTCTGATTTTGATTGCGGTTGTATGAAGCTCTAGAAAATTCTAACAAATGAAGCTAGAAGCTTATTTCAACCACCACTGAATAGAGCATAAAAGAAGCTTCTTGATAGTATGCTGGGTAAGTTTCACAGAAGAAACTTTGATGGAGAAGAGCTATCTTGAAACAAGGGCTAGAAAAACGCGCATTACTTTTGCACCAACCTAATATTTACAAAGCCAACAGTCTACAAATATAACAGTATCACAATTTATGTTTATTATGGCAAGGTTCATCGTTATGGCATAAACCAGCTTGACATTGTGGTGGTGGCAAACCGGACAAGTGGATTCACTCCTACCAGTACTGTGTTATTCGTTGAGACAAACATTCCATACTTTTTCCTCTCCGAAGCATCATCTTTGGGTTTTGAATCAAAGACGATGGCTGGGAGAGAAAAAAGCGGACGGAACAGCTGTTTGACAAATGGAGCCACAGAATGTGAATTTGCACATTCCAAGCGTTGATGTTATTGGTGCATTAGCACTTGGGTAAAACGTAAACGAGGCCTATATGTACGTATGTATGTATGTACTCAAATGAACTGGAAAGTCCAAATCATCATATCTCTATTTTCAATGAACAGATTGCAAGGCATGAGATCTCGCTTCAGTTTTCCGATTTTGATTTCAAACAAATAAAATCACACTTCCCGACTAAAGCGAACATAATCCAAAACAGTGGCCTCCAAAATTTGAGTATGGGGATTTTTGCAAATAACAATCCTGCATGACTCTAGAGTGCATGAAAATCACAAAAACCGTGGCTCAGAAGATTGTAGAGGTAATGCTGACAAGGACATACGCTTAGCTGTAATGAAGGAGGTCCAAAAATCAAAAAGAATATTCGCAGTCAGCTGTTGGGTGGGAAGGGAAGTCAATTACTCTATAGTATAACAAACGACATTCTCTCATGTTATTCGGAGCTTACGACGTTGGGTGAAGTAATGCCAGTTCACCTAAGATTGGTAGACCTCAACTTCGTCTAATTCCATAGATGTACCTAAGTGGACAAATCCGATTATTCAAATCCCATTGTATAGATCTACTGTCACTGGCTTTTATTCCAGCAATTCTCTCAAAATACCGCCGGATGAGAGGAAGAAAACAAATGGGGAAAATAATGCACAAAAAGAGTTAGACGTTAGTGGTTACAAATCAAATAAGAAAAAAATTCTGTTAGCAAACCAACCTTCCACTGAATCTACACATCATGAAAAGATTTTGGTAAAAGGGAAGCTCTCCGATAACTGGCGCAGAATCGAATGTGTTTACATCTTGCAAGCCACACCAAGCTGATTTTATCTGAAAGGGTACTGCCATTTCATATGCGGACAGCAACGAGCATCCATCTCTATCTCACCTTTGCCGACTGAAAAGCAGGGGTTCTCCGCACCAAAACCGGCCAAATATTTACATAAAATTCATTGCAATCCTTCCAAAGATTCTCGGTCATCGATGTCTTCCTCCTAAACGGCTGTTGAAGCACTAGCGATTCAAATTGTTAAGAATCAGAGCACCTTAGATGGAATTCTGCCAACCACAAAAGTATTGCCAACACCTAGTTGGCGACAGCATACACCGCAAGGGTCTACTATAGCCGGTATATCGACTGGAACATCCGGTGCATGTTTAACAAAATTTGTTCGGCTTTGTGGGCCAATGGGAACTGGGACTGGCAGCATCCCTTTGCCTTTGCCTGAAATATTAGGTTGTTGCAAAAATAATGTCCGTTTTGCAAATTTTCACTTTGGAAGGCTATAACTTCGTTCAGTCTCCATATTTTTGAATGCAGTGAAGACCATCAGAAACATTAAACCTTTCTCAACTTAGCGCGCCCCTGCTCAAACTGAGATCGCAAATGGGAAGAAAACCATGCGTCAGAAAACTAAAAGTTTTTCTCTTGAAAACCTCGTCTTCAAGAGCTTACAACTCCCTTCAAGCTTTGTCCCTATGTCTGCTAATTAGCTTATTTTGTAGCCGCAGGCCAATAGTATAGGTGTGTGTAAAAAAACTCCAACGAAGGAGTTCTGCGAGAAGAAAAGATAAAAATTCAAAAATGTTCACTCTTTTGAGTCTATTTGTTGTAGGCTTGTAAGTGCCTAATTATGAAAATTTGGAATTCTTCGCGCACTGAATAGCTAAGTTTCTCTTCAAATAATGTAGTTAAGGTGTGCCAATTTCAAGCTTACAAAAATGGGCGAAGCTTTGGCGATTGCCTTGATTATGAGAAATTTCTGACCTATAGAATGCCAGCAGCGAGTGTCTATTTTGACGCGTCAATTTCTCAGTCCACATTCCTCCACAAATCTACATAAGCACGCAGTAGGTAAACTATCTTCATCAAATACACTTGCTATGTCTTCAGAAGATTTCGTTTATTTGCTCCTGAATTGTGGTCAAGAAAGTGGAAGCTATGAGATTCTGATTTTGAGTGCGGATGTGGAAAATGCTGGTGAAATTCTCACAAGTGAGGATAGCAGCTTTTCACAGCCATGAGAAAGTACTTGAAGAGAGCTTTCCAATGATATGCAGATGCTGTATCGAAAAAGAAAGTCTAATGGGAAAAAAGTTGTTTGGAATATAGGTCTAGAAAAACGGACATTATTTTTGCAACAACCTAATAAATTACTTCATTGTCTCTCATTGCTGTCATAGCCTATAAAGAACTGGAGTCCTCCAAGGGCAGTGTCTGAGCATGTCTTTGAATGATGAAACTCTTTTGTAGAGGTTGAGGCGCTGAGTCGAATATGTGTTCCAAAACTTGTGAAAATGCCTACATATCATCGGCTCCCAGATTCCTCTGGAGGTTGCTTGGGGACTTACCTGATTTTCAAAAAAAAAAACTTGCTAAACCTCCACGTTATAGCATGTTATTTCGTACTCTCTCGTCAAACTTATCCTTACAATCAGGAAAGTCCCAAAAACGGCTACACACAAATCTGGGAGACGATCATACCTATTCGAGCATGAGCAATGCTGAATAGGGAGATCCAATCAGCTGAATTTTTCTGGGACTGGTGAAACTCCATATTGAATGCGTTGGCTATTTGCAGAATATCTAATGAGTTGAATTCCCTGTCCAAAAAGGAGAATTTCCACAGTTTCACAAGCTATGGACCAAATTCAACTCAATGTTAAACAAAGTTCACGAAAGGTAAAAAAAAGTTGTAAAAGCGCTCGATGGCCGATGAAAATGTATCTCAGGGAAAGCGACCGGATACCAGGCAAAATATGGGGAGCTATGGTTGTTTGAAGTCATCTATTTTTTCTAGGTATTCTCAGTGAATTTCACAATGTCTGGGGTAAGAAAGCATACTTCACCATCTATGTCGTTTACTCCTTGACAGAGTGTGAGCATTTGTGCACCTAATGAAAAGAGCGGAATACAGAACGGACTTCTTAGCGCACCAAAAACGGTATTGCAAGAACATAAAAAAAAACAATAGTACCTACCCTGCCAGTTCGGCAATCTTTCTAGCCCAAGGACCTGCTGCGTTGACGATTCAGGTGAATACGTATGGCTCGATATCAGACATCTGCGGTCGCACCTCAAATACAGCAGTCAAAAATCGCTATAAAGACTAATTTCTGAACATAATTTGAATGTTGGACGGTTGGTTCGATAAGAGGTAATCGAGGACATCTAGGGCTAGATCAATGTAAGCGACAGTTAGTTCAATCCGCGAAACTTACGAAAACACCAGCTATTCGCTGTGTGCATGAAATTCTTCCTCGTCGGCAAGTTCGTGATCTTCCATAGCATGAGGCTCAGTCCTTCTACGAAGCCTTTCGAACTGAAAACCTTCGATCTCGGCTCTTACATACTGGAATGGCGTCCATACAATATACTGAAGAAACGGAGCGGTGTAGTATTTGAGTGCACACCTGACAACAAGTGTGATATTCTTCTCTCGGATGGAGCCAGCAACTGCCATGTATAGAGGGGCCTTCATTTTAAAAGCCTAAATAGTTTTCTAATATAAGGTGATTAATTGAACCAGACATACCCAAACTTCCTAAAACAACATCATCAAAGTTCATGAAAGGAAACCGACTCTGAAGATCAACTTTCGACAAAAGCGCCACGCAAGCACCCTTATCACTGCAAAATAGAACATATGAGAATTTGGGTAGATCCATGTAAGTGAAAAAGAGCTTGAGAAAGCATCTTTATGATAAACACTCACAGAGTTTCTAGCTATCTCTCAATGAATCTGCTTCCTGTTCATTGCAAACTAAGTTAAGAAATCCATTTGCAGATTCATATCAGGAGAAGCGTTGTCTGCATGTTGTTGTTTGGATCAATTCGCAGTAGGAAGAAAGGAAAAAAAACATGAAAAAAATGCTCATGAAAAAAAAGTGAACAAGGGCAGTATAAAACCAAAATACATCCTTTCATACTCCTAGAGACAAACTCAACTTGAAAGACTAACCTCTTGTTTCTCTGTGAAATATAACCGCTTTTATCGTCTCCTCAAAACGATCATACAGTTGTCCGATTGCACAAATCGCATCGCGGTGATTTTTTCGACGGTATGGCCAGGGCTTTAGTAGAGATACGGTGGGTTTTCTGAACCCTACTCACCGAAGCACCTAGTCCGACATACCACCGAAAATATTGGTGTGCGGCAGGATTCCAAAAACTGCCACCACACAAGGGCGGAAGACAAGACAGTTTGAAATTCGCATCAATTTTCATACCATGTTTCTATCTTCCTATGATTTTTATGTTTCTCTGTTTCTGTTTCTATCCTCTTTTATTGCAGTGTTTGTCTATTGTCTGTTTGTCTTTTTATCATTCAGTCGTTTCAAGTACAGGGTAAATGCAGAGCTAAGCGTGGTTCGCTGTTTCAGATCCATGCTTGTTTGCCTCTGTATTTAGATCTGTTATGTCAGTGACGTATTTTGAACATTGCAGAAAGGAAGATACAATTTAAAACACTTTTCACTCTTTAATCACTGACTACTTGCAGATGTTTGGACCACAGAGATCTGTTCCCGGTACCCATATTCTGTCTTGGTCATCCGCATTTTCACATGACATGCTGTACTACTGACTACTCATTCTGTGATGAGGAAATATTTGTGAATGTTGGTCATCCTAACACTACGTGCTTCGTATGATTTTTGAGTAATTTATTTAGGTGGATAGTAATGCTGAGAATACGCTTTTATGGCCATGGATTGCTGTAGGGTCACTAATAACTGTAAGTTTTGTCAAACAATTTTTGGGTCCATACCGTACTCGCTTGGTGGTACAGCTGTTCTGATTATAAAGTGCTGACCAGAATGATACGGTATGGGATGAGCATGATTTTTATTTCGTGAGTGCGCAGAATGGCTGTCAAAGTTTACGCCTCTTTGAAAAATTTTGATTTTTCTATTTTTCTTGGAAAATGCGATCCGTTGACTTCGATCAGGTTACATCTTTTCTGAATACTTTATCATACTTTGAGCAGATTGATAAAAAATCGGCATCGCTTCTTTTGAAAACACGAACACGACTTCATGTAGAATTGTACCTGTAACTTCATGTATTAACAACACTTCATGTAGACTATACATCTGGGCGATGCGCCACCCTGGTAGTGGTTATGTCCAAGGAATCAATGATCTTGTAACACCGTTTTTTGTAGTTTTCGTGTCAGAGTTCGTGCCACAAGATGTAGAGGTAAGTGACTAACTGTAATTATTTGTTATTTATTTATTTATTTATTATCCTTGCATTTTCCCAATGAAAGAAAAAAGTTTTTTTTTTCTATTCGGGGTCTGCTGCTCTTGTGAGTCTCTTCCACAGCTTGCAATTCAAAGCTTGTTCTTCTTCTAGCTTGAGCTCTCTTAGATCCGCTTTAATTTTATCTAACCATCTCAGTTTCGGTCTTCCTTTTGGTCTTTTTCCCGATATATCTATTGACGTGCTCGATCTGGTAATGTGGTCTTCTTCACTTCTTTTCAAATGGCCGTACCATTGAAGTCGTCTCTCCTGCAAATTTTTGACAATTGGGGCGACTTTCATCATGGCTCGTACGGTGTCATTTGTGACATGGTCCATCATTGTGATGCCTAGAATCCATCGCAGCATTTTTGTTTCCATCGTACTAAGCTTTCGCTCTTCGTTGTGCGTGATAGGCCAGCATTCGCAGCCGTACATCGCAGTCGGTCGGATCATCGCACGATAGATTTGCGATTTTAGGTTATATTTTATACAAGACCCCGCTTGTCACACATAATTCCTGTGAGGTCTCTCCACTTCAACCAAGCTGCGTTTATTCTGTCGCATATCTCGTCTTCTAGCGTGCCATCCGCAGAAATGCGACTTTCTAAGTATTTGAAAGAGGTGGTCTTCTTTATCAGAGTGTTTCCCATTTGAATAGTTCCAGGCGTTTGGAAACCCACTTCCATGTATTCCGTTTTCAGAATGTTCACCTTGAAACCATGTCCTTCAAGCTGGGTTTTCCACATCTGTACGTCCATCTCCAGCTCCTTCCTGCTTCTTGCCATCAGGAGCACATCATCAGCGTATATGAGTGCCCATGGGGGTTGACGTATAAAATTTCTAACTATCGCGTCAACAACAATTATGAAGAGGAGGGGTGAAAGGACGGATCCTTGATGTACGCCAATGTTTATGTGGAAATCCTCTGATCGTCCTGCTGCTGTCTCTACATAGCTGGTTGCACCTTGATAGATCATTCTTACCCACCGAACATATTCCTCTGGCACTATGTGCTTCTGTAGGGCCCACCATATCATGTTATGTGGCACCTTGTCAAATGCTTTCTCTAAATCCAGGGATGCAGCATGTAATTCACATTGTTTTTCTCGACATCTTTCCATAAGTGTTCTAACGATGTGATTTGCATCAGTTGTGCCGCAGCCTTTCAAAAATCCGCATTGATTGGGTGCAAGCTCCACTATATCCCGAAGTCGTGTCTCCAATATTCTTTCGAATATTTTCAACGTGTGACTAATGAGACGGATGGGCCGATACGTGGAGCAGTCGGCTATGTCGCCTTTATTTTTCCACATGGTATCGTTATACTTTTATACCAGTCGCTGGGCATTCTCTTGATTCTCACTATTTGGTTTAGTAGTCGCGTTAGCCACGAAATTCCATTTTGTCCACACTTCTTCCAGAATTCGTTGGAGACATCGTCTGGGCCTGTCGCTTTGCCGTTCTTTGTCTTCGAAATAGCGACGCGGACTTCATCTTCTGTAATGGCTGGCACTGGTCCGTGAACTGGTTCAGCTTTTATGGTAGATGTACATTCGCACCTCGCGGACGCTAACTCTGCAAAATGTGCTCGCCATCTTTTATTTATATCTTCTGGTCCTTTCAACATCCTCCCCTGTTTGTCTCTAATACTGTAGAAGTGCTCTATGTCTTTCATGGCGTCAGTCCTTCTTCGGGCCAAACGGTAGATTTCACGTACACCTTCGGAAGTATGCAATTTTCTGTACAACTCCGTTACATGCGTTTCTTTCGCTTCCCTTACTCTCTTTTTTGTTGTACGTTTCGCTTCTAGATACTTCCGATGAGCATCTTCTGTCCTTGTTCTTTGCCATACTCTAAAAGCTGATTTCTTATTTCTTATCACAAGCTGAATCTCTTCGTTCCACCACCATGTTTCTTTGTTGAGTCTAGGTCTTCCTGGTTTCGTGCGCCCTAGTATATCTTCAATTACCTAATGAACATTCTTCTTTAGATTCGCCCAGGACTGTTCTACATCTTCTTCTAACTCAGGTAGAGTAGATTCTAATGCAACTGTGGCGCTATGGTCTGCTTTGAGCTTCCACCATTTGATGTGCTCTCTTTGCTCTGTCGTTTTCCATCTTTGCTTGTCGGATGGAATATTTAAATCCAGTAAAAGTGGCTTATGCTGCGGTATGCATTCTTCACCTGGAATGACCTTGCTGTTCTTCACATACTTGAGTTCACTCTGCCTTACTGCCCAAAAGTCTATTTGTGACTTTCTGCCTCCACTGACATACGTAATCAAATGACTGTCTTTCTTTATGAAATAACTATTTGCCAGCGCTAAGTTATGAGCTGTAGCAAACTCAAGAATGCGTTCACCATCTTTATTTCGTACTCCGTATCCATGGTCTCCATGACATTTTTCTGTGCCACTCCTTTGCATTCCGACATGGCCGTTGAGATCTGCTCCAAGCAGGAGCATCTCTTCTGATGGTAAAGATCGGATATAATCATCGAGTTTATGCCAGAACACATTCTTTTCAACCTCACCGCAACCGGTTTGTGGTGCGTAGGCAGTGACTACTCGTAAAATCTGCTTCCCATTTTCAATCCTGATGCTCATAAGGCGGTCACTTACTCTATCAACGTTAGTTATTTTCTTTCTCAGTCTTTCGCAGACAACTATCCCTACGCCGTTTCTGCCATTACTTACTCCGTTGTATAGGAGCTTGAATCCGTCTCCTATATCGCGCGACTTTTGCCCTTTCCATCTGGTTTCTTGAATGCAGGCGACATCCACTCTGCGTCTCTTAAGAAGATCTGCCAGGTCGCGGTGTCGCGCCGTCAAAGATCCTACGTCGATGGTTGCAAGTCGAAGCAATTCTGAGAACTTTTGTCGTTGCTTGTACTTATGATGAGCCAAGTTTTTTGACCATCTCCTTTTCGCTCGTTGAGACAGTAGCTCTCGCTCTTTGTTCATGTTCGTTAGGCTCAATTTCTCGTCGCTTTCGGGAAACGCCCTAAATCGATGCGACGATTCGTCTTCTTCAGCCGGCTTGTCGCTTGCTTCCCTGTGGGTAAGCAGCCTGACGCTGGGAACAACCACTTACGATGGTCGAAGTATGGAATAATAAGAATAATTATATAGCAACATAACAACATTTGTTATGTTGCTATATAATTACATTTTGACAGGTTGGCTCATTTGATGTCTCGCAGCTTTCGCGTGAGCACTGTGAACTGGTAGAAGCAGATTCATTTTGGTGTGTCTCTGCGCTGCTTGATTCCATTCATGACAATTACACATTTGCTCAACCTGGAATTCAAAGGAAGGTGTTGCAGCTGAGACATCTAATGAGCAGAGTTGATCGTGAGTTATAGTCTGCTAGCAGCAAAATTGATTTTGATGAAACTTAGCGTTGTTTTCATTCTAGGACCTCTTCATATGGATCTTGAGTCAAACGGAATTGAATATCTACAGTTTTCATTCCGATGGATGAACAAATCTTCTCATGAGAGAAATTCCTTTGCGAGCTACAATCCGCTTTTGGGATACTTACTTGGTGAGGATTTGAGGATAATCTTCTTTAAGAGTTTTTATGCTAAAAATGCGATTTTACGCCCTAACGCCCTATATCTGGTAATTTGTAAAGTGTCTTTTCAATTCGAAAACACTAGCTGGGTCTCAATCTATTTCCAGACGTTTGCAGTCAATATACATACTTAGCAGTCCACGTTTCATCATTCAGGAAGTGACTGCTAACAAATGGAGCAATATCTCGATTCATGGTGCTAAACTTCCATTACCGTATGGCACGCATCATACTAAACTGTCACTGATGGAATCAGAGAATGATTTACATGTTTTTGTATATACTGCAAATCTGATAGAAAGTATTTTTGCAACAGTGCTTGAAATACGTGCTCATTATTTTGTTCAAGATGACTGATATCGGAAGACGCACTGCTTTTATTACGCTAGCGGTTCATTATGCAACGAGAGGTGAATCACTGCATGTAGCAGTTTCTACTAACACTATCGTTGCACCATTTAGGGAACCTCCGGAGAGTGAGTTTGTCAAGGACTTATGTAGCTATATGCCAGAGTACCGTTTGCCGGAACTTGACTACTGGATGGATCGTATAAAAAGCTGTGATTTTGGTGCCATCCATGATCGTTTGGTATTTTTTGTACCAGGCTACCATCAAGCATCTCGCATGAACAAGGTTAGTTTGGATTGCTCATTGCTTGACCCAACGAAAGAGCTTTAGTTCGGTCATCCGTCATTGGCGCGACTTCTGAAAGACCGTCCTGCAGGCTGCATTCATACTGATTCCCATGTTCTGGAACTGTTCCCGCACAGTTCTCGCACTGTGCTAAAACTGTGCGGGAACTGTGCGGGAACTGTGCGGGAACAGTTCCAGAACTGTGCTGCATGCGCTGCAGCCGCCCCGCACCGTTTTGAACGGCGGGAGTTGGAGAATTTTGACCGTTCTCAACGGTTTTTCTTCCAGATTTCGCTCATTTTGGCCTTAATCCTCCACCCCCTTCCCTTTTTGATCAGCATCACTGCGAACTCGAAGCGGGGTTGAAGAATGAGCGCTTTTCTGCGCCGTGTATTCGGAAAGATGGGCTATCGTGCGAATGTTCATTCTGTCTTCTTGTTTTTTGCTCAAAACTACTTCATTTGTTCCAGGAAGCGGCTGCCCAGTTTCCATAGCCATCTGCCACAAATTAGGGAGTAGGAGAAATCCTGAAATTGCATGAGTTGGGACTTGTCTCTTGTGTTTCATGATTTTGGGCGTTCTTAGCCTTGTTCGTTTTTCCATGTCGTTGCTTCTCCGTTCTTTCTTCTACCCCGCTTCTCCTAGTAATGAGAAAAGCTGTGAATTTGAAGCGGGGTTGAGGATTGAACGCTGTTCTGCTCGATGTATCCGGGAATATGGGCCTTCGTGCGCTCGTCCATTCTCTCATCGCTATTTTTGTTCAGACCTATTATGTGTACTAACAAGTCGCTGCGTAGTCTCGCATCGTATTAAAATTGAAATAGACAAGTCTCTAGAACACATGAAGTAGGTCTGAACAAAAATAGCGATGAGAGAATGGACGAGCGCACGAAGGCCCATATTCCCGGATATATGGAGCAGAACAGCGTTCAATCCTCAACCCCGCTTCAAATTCACAGCTTTTCTCATCATTAGGAGAAGCGGGGTAGAAGAAAGGGTACTTTTCCGTTATCCGGACCCATTTTTTCAGGCAAGGATATTGCTTCTTTCCTTGTACCAGATTTGGTCCTAACTTCATAGAAAGGAGTGCAAAATTTTGACATGTATCTCTACCTGTTTAGCAGGTTTTATCATGAGTTTGTGTTGCCCTACCTAGTGACGTTAATTCGGTTGTTTTTCAGCCGATAATGACACCAATTTAGATTAAACAACTTCATAAATGGACACTATTATGATAATAACATTATGCTATTATCAGTGAACAGATTGGGCTTGCCCAGAATAGAGAATTGCGCCAGATTTCCATCGTCTAAACGATAAAACAATCAGTAGCGAGGTACTTCAAGCCATTAATTATAGTCTATCCTGGCTAAATTCGCATGGCGGACAGAGTTTGAGCAGAAGGACATTTTTTGAATCATTGCTGAAAGCAACAAGATGTTCTAATATGAGTTCCAAATTGATTTGTTTTCATAGAAGAAATTAAACAGCTTTTAGGTGACTACAAATGCTCTTTCAACTTACCGGAAATGATTTTTTAAATAAACGCGTCCAACTTTAAAACTCCGTCCAACAAACACCAAAACATGTCAATTTTTTCTTGACACGTGGCAGGAAGGCTGTCCTCGTAGAAACTATAAAAAAGTGTTCTTAAACTAAGTAGTGTATTTTGCGAGAGCCCTTTAAAAAATGGGTCCGGATAACGGAAAAGTACCGAAGAAAGAACGGAGAAGCAACGACATGGAAAAACGAACAAGGCTAAGAACGCCCAAAATCATGAAACACAAGAGACAAGTCCCAACTCATGCAATTTCAGGATTTCTCCTACTCCCTAATTTGTGGCAGATGGCTATGGAAACTGGGCAGCCGCTTCCTGGAACAAATGAAGTAGTTTTGAGCAAAAAACAAGAAGACAGAATGAACATTCGCACGATAGCCCATCTTTCCGAATACACGGCGCAGAAAAGCGCTCATTCTTCAACCCCGCTTCGAGTTCGCAGTGATGCTGATCAAAAAGGGAAGGGGGTGGAGGATTAAGGCCAAAATGAGCGAAATCTGGAAGAAAAACCGTTGAGAACGGTCAAAATTCTCCAACTCCCGCCGTTCAAAACGGTGCGGGGCGGCTGCAGCGCATGCAGCACAGTTCTGGAATTGTTCCCGCACAGTTCCCGCACAGTTTTAGCACAGTGCGAGAACTGTGCGGGAACAGTTCCAGAACATGGGAATCAGTATGAACTCAGCCGCAGCAGAGAAAGGTGTACGTCGATTATTTTTAGCTCAGTGTAGCTCTATAGGTTCGTTGGGTGCTACTCGAGAAGTGTGGCTCCTTGCCCAATTCCTAAGTTCTCTGCAGGGTGGAAAGGATCTAGGTGAACTTACGATTTGCGAAGCGTATTTTGCAATATTCTGTGTGTATCAGGACTCGCAAGGCTTTGTCTCATATATCCATCTGTTGAAGACGTGAGGAATTCTCTGGAAGGCTATAGTGCAGGTGACTCCCTTCCTTATCAGGTATATCGGCTCATTTTTCTCTTGGATACTTCGTTCTGCCTTTGTTGAAGGAGTCCACCGCCAAAAAACAGCCATGGCTAAGGGACATGGTGTGTAAATGGAGAAGTGAAGGAAGAGGTAGAAGTAAAGCAATGCCACATGTAAAAGTGTATTGTACAAGTTTCTAAAGCAAACAGAATTTGTTTGAAATTGGGACTTCTAGACTTACACGGAAATTTGGGATGGTATTCCTCAGTGGCTGCTTGTCACCAGTGCTAATCTTTCTAAAGCTGCATGGGGAGACTATCAGGTAAGAAACTTTTGTATCTGAATTTTTGCACTTCTATTTTGGACATTTGTTTCCGTTTCTGTTGACAGAAACGGGACTCAACTCATGGTTCGCTCATATGAAATTGGCATCTTAATTACGGATCGTGAACGCATCAAGCTACCATATGATTATCCGGTTGTGAAGTGAGTGCACCACATCCTTGTTCCTGTGTTCATTGTGACGAAACCAGGTATGGACCGAATGATGGCCCATGGATATGTGATGTGTAATACACAAAAGCAGACAGCCATGGAAGAGAATGGATAGTTGAACGCAGATGAAACACATGGCGTCTGTGTAATTCAACTACTTCTTCACATCGCTACGCGCTACTTTCCGCGATTTTTATATCCTACCGTACTTCTTTACCACACGATAATGTCAGCTACACACAGGCACGCTTTTATTCAAGTGTTTTTTGCTATGCACTGGGACAATTCTTTTCATACGAAAGATGCGTTTTTGAAGTTGTGTCAGCACTGCCACTCTCGCACCGGTCTCGTTGAAATTTCATTATGCAAATCATCCATGACTTACAATTAAGTGTTTGGTTTCATTTTTTGTTCTCAGCCGCGCAAAGGTAACAAACGCATGTTCTATGAGAGTCTGCATAATCTAGTCTATAATTTGTTAAGTGTTTTTGTCAGCAAATTTTAAGCATTTCTGAACACATTTTCATTGTTTGTCTTATGATTTTTAATTGCATACATTTGTGGCAAATTTTTAGCCAAGTTTATACACTTCGTGACTTTGCCACAGATCTCCTGTGCATGCATGCTCCTACAAACCTCACGCTATTTCTGACATTTCAATTTATTCACTCCCTAGTTTTAGTTATCTTGATCTTTTTTTCAAAGCTTTATGGTTTTAGATGAATCTCTTAATAACATTTCATATAAATTTTCCACGGATCTCCCTCATAGAGGGATCACAGCCGGTTAGTCGCGAGGCTACGTGGGGCGTCCCCAGGTGGCGGATAGGGGGATAATCGCCGACCAAAAGCGACCCCGCGCCTGCTCTGATAAGCAAGCGGAGCCGGGGGACGGACTCCCTGCCTCCACTAAAAGCTTGCGCCCTAATTTTCCGGGTAGGTGTGGGGGGAGGCGAGTTCGGAGTCGCCTCCAACAAATAAGCTCCGATCGTCCCTCGCGGGGGTTTTGAGCCCAACAAGCTATCCCTGCGAGTAAATTCTTGTTCGACACAGTGATAATATGGAAAGCTCCTTTAATCTTGGAAGAGCCACTGGTAAGGCAGCGCCAGTGGGGACAAGGTTTGAAAGGCGATCTAGGCTGCCGAAAACGAGACGGACTATGATGACGATCTGTACTTACAACGCGAGGACGCTGGCATCGGACGCATCTATCGAAGATCTCATGATGCAAGCAAGGAAGATTAAGTACGACGTCATCGGACTGACCGAGACAAGGAGGCACCACCCGCTGAACGCCACATTTGAGACTGGAGAAGAACTGTTTCTAGGAACATGCGACAGTCGAGGAGTAGGTGGAGTGGGAGTCCTTGTCAACACGAGTTTGGCCATGAACATCGATTCGTTCGAACAACTTACAACTCGAATCGGACGTTTGCGAATATCAAGATGTGGATCAATCCCTGCCTTGACCGTCTTCATTGCTTACGCCCCAACATCCAGCTACGACGAGGACGAACTCGAGGAATTTTATATGGACTTGGAGAAGTTCTACAGAGAAGATCATACCTTCTACAAGATCATCGTCGGTGATTTCAACGCGAAGATCGGAACTAGAAGGTCGACTGAGGAACTTCACATCGGAACCCATGGTTTGCAGTGGAACGAACAAGGGGAGAGACTGTCCGAGTTTATCATGACGACGAGGACTATCCATGGAAACTCACAGTTCCAAAAGCCCTCTTCCCTACGCTGGACCTGGGAATCGCCCGGTGGAGAGTACCATAACGAGATTGACCACATCATCGTCAACAGAAGGTACTGCCTGACGGACGTCTTTGTTGTTCCGAAGTTCTACACGGGATCAGACCATCGTCTCCTGCGCGCCAAATTTTTCCGCGGAATGGAGAGAGAGCCGTCAAGTTCAGGAAACATCGTCCCATGAATACCACCAACTGGGATCTGTTTTCTTCGATATCCGGCTCATGGCGAGATACCGTGATGGACAACATCGACGAAGAATACGAACGGTTCGTACAACATCTCCACGGTTGTGCCAAGGAAGCTCAGAGTCTAAGAAGTACGAGAAGGCGTCTCACCACGGGGACTTTGGAGCTGATACGCCAACGTGGACGCGCATGAGCCACAGGCAACTACCGACTGACGTCCGAGCTTGCGAAGCGATGCAGAGAAGCGATAAAAGAAGACCTTAAGGAGAGAAGAGTAGCAGTGATGGTTGACGCCGCGGAGGCTGGAAGAAGTATACGCAACGCCCGCCGAAGCTTCGTCAACTTCAAGACAAAGATGACCGCACTTCGTCGTCCTGACGGAACCATAACTGCTTCCCGAAGATCAATGGAGAAGGTCATCCACGACTTCTACTTGGATCTTTTTGCGAGCCACGTCCACCTTCCACCATGCCATCTCAAGGAGGACGAGTATGTCGCACCGTCTGTTCTTCCTTCCGAGATTCGTCATGCTATCATGTCGATGAAAAACCGTACAGCACCCGGTCCCGACAGAATTAAGCCAGAACATCTGAAGAATCTTTCGCCAGTTCTCACCAAGACTTTGGCAAGGCTCTTCACGCGGTACCTGACGGAAGGCAAGGTTCCAAGGCAATGGAAGACCAGCAAAACCGTGTTGCTGTACAAGAAGGGAGATCCCTGCGACATCGGCAATTATCGCCCTATCTGCTTGTTGTCTGTAGTCTACAAACTCTTTACGCGAGTCATTCTCAACAGGATCGGAAGAGAGTTGGACGAAGGACAACCATGCGAGCAAGCTGGGTTTCGAAGAGGATTCAGCACGATCGACCACATACACACGGTGTCAAGGCTCACTGAAGTGTCACGAGAGTATAAGATGCCGCTCTGTCTCACCTTCATCGACTTGAAGAAGGCCTTTGACTCGGTTGAGACTGAAGCCGTCATCGATGCCTTGAGCAATCAAGGTATTCCGACTCATTACATCAAGATAATTCGTGAGCTGTATAACGACTTCACAACCACCATAACACCATTCTACAAGGACATCATCATTGACGTGAAGAGAGGCGTGCGACAAGGCGATACTATATCGCCGAAACTATTCAGTGCCGCTCTGGAGAACGTCATGCGTAAGTTGGAATGGGACAACATGGGAGTGAAAGTCGACGGCCGGCAGCTACACCACCTTCGCTTTGCTGATGACATCGTATTGATAACACCAAGCATCACGCAGGCGGAACAAATGCTGGCCCAGTTTGACGAAGTGTGTGGAAAGATCGGTCTACGGCTGAATCTAACGAAGACGATGTTCATGAGGAACGGAAGAGTGCCTGATGCTCCTTTCATGCTCAACGGGACGAACATCACCGAATGCTCAAGCTACACCTACCTAGGTCGTGAACTCAATATGATGAACGATCTAGCTCCGGAACTGAGCAGGAGGAAACGTGCAGCATGGGGAGCATATAAGACAATTGAGGACGTAGTGAAGAAGACCGAGAACATCCGGCTCCGCGCCCACCTTTTCAACTCGACGGTTCTTCCTGCTTTGACGTACGCTTCAGAAACATGGACAATGAGAAAGCAGGATGAACACGCGGTTAGCGTCATCGAACGAGCTGTTGAGAGAGCGATGCTAGGAGTGAATCGACTCACGCAAGTGAGGCAAGGATTACGAAGTTCTACCCTACGTCAACGATTGAAGATCAGGGACGCTGCCGCGTACGCCAAGCAGAACAAGATAAGATGGGCCGGGCACGTAATGCGTTTCGACGACAACCGGTGGACGAGAGCTGTAACAGATTGGATACCACTGGACGTCAAACGCGAACGAGGAAGACCGCCGACGCGATGGTCAGATATGTTCACGATTCCTTTAATGAAGTCCTTCAGAGCGTTCCACGTGTTCCTGGTGCGATACGTAAACATTGGTCAACAATCGCTCGAGACAGGGACGAATGGAGGAATCACTGGTACCCGCTCGTGCAACACGATGATCAACGGGGATACAGGTGATACAGGTGATAAATTTTACTGAATTCTTTTTCTCGTAGCATATCTTAGTCTGGTACACGCAGTAATTTGTTCAAGTATCTCAACTCAGAGCCATCAACATGGCTAAGCCGTCGAAAATGCCTAGGATTGCTCACAAAGACCTCGTTAATAGAAATTTGTATTTCACGAAAGTAAGTTTGTTGTATCTGAATGGGTAATGCTGACTTAGATATCATCCCAGGTACTGCTGAAGTGAGTTTCGAAGATATCGCGCGAGTCGTTAGAATTTCACCAAAGGAGTGAGCTTTGAGCTGGTCCAGTTTGAGACTGAAAATCATGCGCTAGTGGTGGAAAAGAGTGTAGTTGCTATTCGCTTAGGTCGACAAATTGGCGGAAAAGTTCGATGCGAATGCCTTCATTGCTGAAAAATACAACGCGCTCATTTCTGCGAATAACAGCGAAGAAAATAACAATATGAAATCGTAAGTGTTAAGTGACTCTTTATTTCTTTCTTACTTATAGTATGCCATCAAACCGCTTTCAGATGGCTTGCAACTGTCTCTTCGCTTGACCTTGAGCACATCAGCAGATTTTTGGATTTCATCAGCGAGAATTTTTCCTCCAAGGTTGGTAGTTACCAGAAATGTCAATTTCCCATATCCTATTCATTCTAGAACGATCTTTCTCCACTCACATGCCTTACTCGAGAGGTTTGACGTGAGGCAATGCTGCCGAAACAGAATCGAGCGCCAAAGAGGACAGACTGGCTGTCCGGTGTCATACTAACTGCTCATAAGGTTGGTGTAATTTTTTGAGATGTGAAATTTTAATTGAGATCGCACTTTCATAGAGAACTTCAAAAATTAAATTCATTGACTGTGGTAGTAACTTTGCAGGTGCCGCGAATCGTTTACGAGAAGATGGCGTTTGTGGCTACTGAGTGGACCTCTCCACTCGCTCTCGATTCCTCCTTGATTCCGATGCTTCTGAACCTTTTACCAGTAGATTTCTGCTCACCATCCACAACCAGTGCAGTCATTCGGCCGTGTGCCTCAGCCCTGCCTGCTGTATCCCGAGCCTACTCCGAACAATCTGACAATTAGAATAATTTCAGCTTTTATTCATATATTTTGTCCTCAAAAAGAAACTTGTTCTATGCGGCACGCCTTCGCCTAACCCGCCCAACAACCACCCGCCCGTCAACGTGTAAAAAATTGATCTCACTTACACGGATCTCAGAGCACACATGTTAACGTCTAACGTTCTCATGTTTTGGTATAATAAAATTGGTGATTTTGTTATGTATGTTTTGATAAGATAAAAATGTTGAAATTTCGTCATTGATAAAAAGAGAAAATATGAAAGACAGTTTACTTCCTATGTAAAGCTCAAGGGTAGGGAGAGGGGGGGGGGGTGGAGGGGGGGGGGGGTCGTGCCGGGGTGCGGCCCAGGCAGGGCTCGGCACAGGTGGCTTGCAAAGCAAGCTGGATATCGTTTTTGGGGAAAAAAGCAAAGGGGATATCGTTTTTGCGGAGGAGCATAACGCTGTCTTTCGATCTGCTGCCGGCACGCTGCCGGCATGCCACCAGCAAATAAACAAAGGGTTTGTTTACAACGAAGTGAAGATGAAATGGCACCAAAATAGGTGTGTAGATAGGCAATAGGGACTGAAAACTATGTATGAAAATTTATGAAAAACTTATGTGAAATAGAGGCGTGGCCAACTTTTATCGGGATTAGGTGGCTTTCAAGCCACCTGGATAGCCACCTGAGGTGGCTTAATGAAGAAAAAGTCATATATTTTTTCTCCTTCACATAAGTTCTCAAAACTTTTTTCATAATTGTATCCTTCATCCCCTTACTTATCCACAGAAACCTAAACAGTCTCAAACCCCCTCCTTCCTTTCCAGTTATAGGTCGCCAAATATTTGTGGAGCGATTTCACAGTCTGCTCCAGCGCACAATAGTGCGCTGGCGACAACGCGGCGCCAAAGCACACCCTTCAAAGCATTCTTCTGTGTGTTTGCTTGTTCTGTTTGATCTGTTTGATCTCTTTCTTACTGTTTTTCGCATTCGTCCTTCTCTTAGGCCCCGGTCAGACTTCACGCGACTTAATCGTCGCGATCTTCGCCAAGATTTCCATTCATTTTCATTTCACATTCAGAAATGTCGGGCTGGAAAAGTATCACAACCGAATGCAAGTTGATCGGCATGGAATGATGTTCCGCCGAAGAGTTACTTCATTCTTTCTTTTGAAATACAAGTTTTTTGCATGTTCGCACTTAGGCTTTGGTCATACTTCGCCCGTGTTACCGGTGTTGAAAGTGTTGCCAGTGTTGAAAGTGTTGCCGGTGTTGAAAGTGTTGTAAGTGTTGAAAGTATTACCGGCAAAGTATGGCCAAAGCCTTAGAAATGACCTGAAATAATCACTGATGTGCTATGGCGTCCGGTTCTTTGCTCATCACGCGTTGATATCGTTTTTATCGCGTCTTGGCTGTATTCTTCTCAAAGTTCTATTTCAGAAGAGCTGATTCTATTCCTATTGGCTTGCGAGAACGCCTACCAGACGTCATGTATCCTTACGCACCTGGGCGAGCCATTGCTTTCCAATGTAGATCTTTAGCCTTTTTCTTGTTTTCGTTGTGTTTTATCTTCACTGCTGAGAATCACTTTTGTTCTCAGTCTCGGCTAGAGTTGACGCGATTTCATCGTCGCGATTCATCGCGACGATGAAATCGAGAAGTGTTACGATTTCGTTGCATGCCGATCTTTTTCTTTTTCGGTTGTGATATCAGTCGTGATTACGTTGGAATACTATCACAACCGAAATGCAACAAGATCGGCATGCAACAATATTGTTACAGTTGTCTTGTCGCGATGAATCGCGACGATGAAATCGCGTCAACTCTGCCCGAGGCCTTGAAGATTCTTTCAGAACGCTAAAGTTTGTGGCATCGTCAAAAATGGTTTTTCTCCTCTTTATATCTGGTATGATCGCGGTTTCGGGACAATACATCTACAAAGATATCAGCGGACAGAAGGTAGCTTCATAGTACGTCGTGATACCACTTCAACAAGTAGTTAAGGAAAGCAGCGGCGGGAGTAACTGGGGCATAAGCGTTCCCCCCGCATTTTACTTCATGATGTTCATTGTGGGCTGGGAGTTAGTGAGAGACTTTCTTAAACTGCTGGTAAGTGTGAATCTTCATTTCATTGACGTTAGCGGTAAAGTTTTCCTTTTAGCTTTATGCTGTCCAGGGTCGAGTAAAAGGCCGCAAGAAACATCATCACGCTGACACTGAGGATGCCAGGAAACGCCTGGATGATGACACGATGGACAGGTTTCATTGCCGCTGCTGCCGTTACGCCGCCTTGCGCGACTGAAACGAAGCGGCAATGGGCGAGATAAGCCTCGAGAGAGGTCTATTGCCCGTTGCCACTTCGCTCCAGTCGCATAAGGAGAAGGCGTACCGGCAGCAGCAGTATTTGCTCTAGGTCACTTCCCAGCCACCGTGAAGAAGCGGAAGTTTTGATCACTCGTCTGTGAAAAGTCACCATTAGCTCTCTGTCGTCATTGTTGTTTTGAAAAATACTCTTTTTTTACCGGTAATGCTGTCACGCTAGAAGAAACCATCCATACAGAAGCTTTTTTTCGCGTTTACATCTAGTAACTTCGTCGAAGCCTTTTCACTTACTCTCCTTTCGATCTCGAAGCATTCGATCTCATTTTCACACTTTGCATGCATTTTTCAAAATAAAGCTTTCTGTTTAGCTATTGTAGTATGACAAAGGGGGTTTCGTAATTTTTTGGGATTCTAGGGGGGACTTCGTTTTTTGCATTTTCAACTAGCCACCTCGTGCCGAGCCCTGGGCCCAGGTGGGGGTCGTATCCGACGGTCGCGTGCCGCACCCCCCGCTTTACCCTGGCTATAATTACAGTTGTACTTAACAGAAAGAAGGAAGTATACGATATGAAAATTGGCATACGACATAAATTGAATGAACCCATCGGATTACATTTGTGTAATTACAACAAATTCCTTAGAAATATCAACAATAATATCGTTAGTAATATACTGAATTAAGACTGTGCATGCAATTTGTGCAAAGAGTATATTAATGTGGAATTGGGGCACGTATGTACCGGGAATATTGATATTATTAAAGATTCAAAATTAAGACAAATATTTAGTAAAGGCTACAAATACAGAATGCATCATTTAGTGACGAAGGAAGACTTGTTAAAGTTAATAAGAAATTAGGCACATCATTTGGCACTAAAAATAAGAAATAATCTAAAGCTGAATGATTCAACGGAAGCACTTTTAAAAGTAAACTACGAAGACTGCTTATTAATAAAGTTAAGCCAAAGCTTAAAACTATGTGAAAGGGAAATCATTGAAAATGAAAAATATGAAAGAGAAGAACTGCATAAATTACAGAAGCGTTTTGTAATTACAAAAACAAACAAGGCCAGCTTCAATTTTAGTTTCATATGCAAAAAGTTATATTTGATCATGATATAGAAGGAATTGGAACAAATCAAATGTGAAAAAACTTATGAGCGCACGCAACTGAGTTTAGATGAAGTAAGAAGAGTACATGAAAGAATTTTAAAAGGGCTGAATGTGAAAGTAAGTAATCACTACAAAGGAGAACCAAGAATTTATGGAATTTCGAAGATGCACAAAGTGCCAATTAAATACAGATACATTACAGGAGCAAAACATAGCACATTGAAACCTTTAACTCAACTTTTGACACTTATACTTAGCCACATCGGAAAACATTTCATGAACTGTTGCAATGTTATCTTCCAGGGAAGCAAAATTAAGCATTTTTGGGCAATTAACAATAGCACAACAGTAGTAAAGGACCTTAGTGGCCAGTCAGGAAATAATAAAGTCTTTTCAGCGGACTTTTCAAGTCTGTTTAGAAGTCTGCCACACTCAGTGGTAAAAAGAAATTTGCATAAACTTATAACGTTGTGCATGAGAGGATACAAATTCATCATAATTAAAAATAGGCTGATAACTTATTCCAATTCAAATACAGCTAAAGGAATTTACTCCAGATAGAAGACGTACTATACATGATAGACGCCCTTCTACATAATAATTATCTTAGATTTGCGGGTGTGATTTATAAACAGGAAAGAGGAATTCCACAAGGGGCATCATGTAGTCCACAAATGGCAGATTTAACTTCAGCTTATATGGTTTGTGAATATGTTAGAAGGATAGTAGCCAATAGGAATTCGGAAAACTTATATAGATTCAACAACATCTACAGATACAGAGTGCGGCAAAAGTCTGGGAGCATAGTACTTTTTCGTACAAAACGAAAAGAGAAGTGCCTAGAAACGAAAAATTTGGCGCACACATAATTCGAACCATTGCAGATACAGCCCAGTTCTTGAATTGCAAAACTGCCTCTTTTGGCTTCCACGCAGCCCTACAAAATCTTGGCGGTCCACCTGTCATGGCACGCAGGTAGTCGTAATGGAATTCGCCCCACGCCTTCAAAATAACTGCTTCTTTTACCTTGGCAAATGCGCAGCATGATAGAGCAAACTTTTGTCTACAACATACTTCCAAAAGAATTTTTTGCATTGTTTAGAAATAAAAAATTGGATTTTAAATTAGAAGCATGTGTACGTCGCATACCGGAATTTTGGCTACAATTGCGCGAATAAAAACTTAAAAATATTGTTTAAAAAGTATAAATGTTCCCATGGCCGAATTTCAATAGATTCTAATTTGAAAGACGTATGCAAAAAATACAGCCTTGGTCCCAGTGCCTGTTGAGCACTCTATAGCTTTTAAATTTGTTCTGAAGACGGATTTCCACTGGCACGTAGGTAACATTCGCAAACTTTTATTTTCCATTTATGCAAGAACATCTCCTGGCAAAAGCAAAACTAGGATACATTAGCGCAAAGCCTCTTCTATGTTGTGTGCATCGAAATTTTGTAAATTATTAACAGCATCTCTAGCTACAGCAAAAATTGTAGATACCAAAAATTTTGGTTTTTTTCGCCTTGCAAAACTGCTAGTTTGGTAATTTCCATTTTTACAAAAACATATGGTAGCCATTTCCAGCCAAATTAAGTGTATTCTGTTGGGGATGACCGCAGCATCATGTGGCATAAAATTGAAATCAAAACCATCAGTATCTTTTTAATTGCAGTACTGCAAAGTTAGGCTCCCAGACTTTTGCCGCATCCTGTACATTGACGATGTGTTACACATTTCGGAAGAACCCATTGTATTCGAATATTCCTTAAAAGAGATATATCATAATGGACTTATCATAGAAAAAACTAATACAAATGATACCGAAACCGACTTTTTGGACCTGAACGTGCAAGTAATAGGTAAAATATATCATTTAGTTTGTATAGCAAAATAGATGCATACAACTTTGAAGTGTTGAGATATTCAGTCTGGCAATCTAATGTTCCAAGATATATCATTACTAACACTTTCAAAACTGAAACAGAATTTCCCGAAACCGTTCGGATTACATAACCTTCAAAAACAGGCTATTGCAATAATGCAAGCTTTGTAAGAAAAATGGTTGGGAAAGAAGAATATTAATTAGAATATTAAGTCACACTTTAACAGACAATTTTTGCATACTGCGCAAATATGGTTTTGATGTAGCCCTTCATATATCATTAGTCCACGACATAGGGGAATTCTGGATAGATTCCAGTTAATAGGAAACAATATATGACATAATACAAGGTTAACAACTGCGTTATTTACGAACGTAAGAGTCTAATACAAATTTTGCAATCAAACATGTTAGGCAATCACCAACTTTCACATTAATGACACGCTTATGATAGCATACATTTCTATAAACTAATTTCTATAAACTAACCTATGCCTCAAACATTTAGTTAACCAGCACTAGAAAATTTGATCTTCAACGTATTGCAGGCGTATATCTGCACGCCTGAATAACTAGGTCGCATTCAAACTCTGTATATAATAACAGTATACGTAAAGAGATCTCACTCACGCACTATTACAACATCTTTTGCATTTTCTACATGAGTCATTGGCAATCTCTTGTTCCTATGCATCTCTTCTTATATTTTCTAATTTGGTCATAGACAGTCTCCTGTTGCTACTCATCCTTTGCAATCTCTTGAGAGGAACACACTCAAAAGTTTTTTGCAACTAAACCATTTTCACAACTTTTGCAGCTTTCTTGGGAACTATTGAAGAGGGGCACCAAGAAAGCTACTCCACCGGTATAGTTCTCAATCCCGAAACCGGTTGAGTGTAAAAGTGTTTGAAAAATTCATATTAAATTTCAATTCAAGCTTTAACAACTAATGTATTTAGTACTCTTTCATTCTTCAGTTCTCTTTTAGGGTTTTCCATAGGCTACTTTTCGTCGTCGGTCGACATCAATTTTATCGATTTTTATTGATTTTTACCGATTTTTATCGATTTTTTTTGCAGAGTCCACCTACGGGGCTGGGATTTGGCACAGGGGGTGACCGAGCATGCTGATTGCGAATACAAAATTAGTTTTCGAAATCGTCCATTTGTAACCGGGGGTGTCTAGTGGTATTAGGGTGAACGGTAAAAAATGGGACAGCTTGATTTTTCTTACATTTTGAGGTTTTTTGTTCTCACCAACAACAAGCAGGCTACAACTCAAACGTCGCTTACATAAACGACCTTCGCCTATTATTCTGACAACGCGTTACCACTCCTCCCTCATAACCGTACGCGTGGCGCCGTGAAAAACTCAGACATGGTTTTTGAAACAGTTCTCAATTTTCTCAGTTCTCAGTTCTCTTTGCTCTATCGAAAGGTGTCTTGCAACCTGCTCAGAAATGAAAAATGTATGACTTATTGCGAATGGAATCAAAACCTGCCTTAATTTCCGGACAATCTAATAGATCAAAAAACTGGTGGAAAGTTTTTAATGAAATCTGCACGCTTGAAAACCTTGCTACACAATCCAGAATTTTTTTGGAATTTTTCCATCAGATGGCCTATTTCATAGGCCATTTGATGGAAAAATTCGCTCTATGCTGAATTCATACCGTAATCCTACATTAGTAGAGAGTGACTGGTAATTCGGTCCATGCTGCGTAGCTATGTAAGATGAACCCCGTCCTACAGAGTGATACCTGAAATTCGCCGGAAATCGTGAAAGTAAGAGGTTATTAACGATCAAGCAGCCGTTCATATTTTTTTGGTACACCCTGTATAATTACGTGATTCTCAAAAGAGACGAGATTAGTTCAAAAGCGACAATTTGTTTCGGGAATAACATTAAAAATGAAATTGAGCAAAACCTCTCATCAAGTCAGCTTCGAATTTTCAATGTCATCTCTATTTTTTTTACATATGACA